TAACTGCACGCTCGCACAGTGATGCCAGCCCAAGGTTATCTACACCAACCCTTAACCCATTCGACGGGTGCTAACTGCACACTCGCACAGTGATGCCAGCCCAAGGTTATCTACACCAACCCTTAACCCATTCGACGGGTGCTAACTGCACGCTCGCACAGTGATGCCAGCCCAAGGTTATCTACACCAACCCCGAACCCACTCGACGGGTGCTAACTGCACCCTCGCACAGTGATGCCAGCCCAAGGTTATCTACACCAACCCTGAGCCCATTCGACGGGTGCTAACTGCACACTCGCACAGTGATGCCAGCCCAAGGTTATCTAACCAACCCTTAACCTATTCGACGGGTGCTAACTGCACACTCGCACAGTGATGCCAGCCCAAGGTTATCTACACCAACCCTTAACCCATTCGACGGGTGCTAACTGCACACTCGCACAGTGATGCCAGCCCAAGGTTATCTACACCAACCCTTAACCCATTCGACGGGTGCTAACTGCACACTCGCACAGTGATGCCAGCCCAAGGTTATCTACACCAAACCCTTAAACCCATTCGACGGGTGCTAACTGCACACTCGCACAGTGATGCCAGCCCAAGGTTCAAGCACGTTTATCTAAAACCAACCCTGAGCCCCTTCCATTGCGTCAACAGCTATTCAGTTCAGGTAGACCGCTGCGAACGGAAGCACCGGCTGCACCCGAGACAGAGAGTAAAAAGCACACACCAAGAACGGACTGACACAGGCGGCGGGCGCTTCTCTGTACCGAGCCCCCGCTCCCGGCGATGCTGAAGGTCAGCTCTCGAGGCACTCACAGTTGGCGTACAGGTAGACGAGGCCCGGTGACCATGAGTACCGGGTGCCAGTTGAACTGAACAGACGGTCTCTCTTGCCAGGCGAATCCATTACGGAAGTGGCCCACCCAGGCCACCGTCAGGATGACGGCAAGGCGCCTGTCGGGTGGCGCCGCGCGTCATCAGATGGGCGGACATGCATGACAGGATGCTGCTCATCATCATGTGCTGCACCATGACATCTGATGACACTATGTCAGCATACAGAACAGTAAGCCATCAGATAGTACAGAGCATCCTCTGATGGTGCAGTGCACCAAAGAAGTGCACATCAAATGAGTAGATAACACAGGACATCCATCATCAGATGACACAATGAACCATTGGAGAACAAAGCATGCCCTTAGATGACACAAAGTATCACCAGGTAAGAGAGCATGTCATCAAACCTTATGGAATATCATAAAATGGCATGGTACATTATCATGTGTATCACTTTCTGAGGGTACTGTTGCAATATTCACTGACAGTGTCATGCTACATCATCAAAAGACAGAGTGTCAGTAAATATTGCATTAGTGCCTCAGAAAACAATGTAGCACATCATTATGTGACACAACAAATGCTGTTTGGCAGCACAGCATGCTTTAATTCAGGACGCAAAATGATGAGGACCATGTGGTACATTATCAGATCACATGACAGAGCAATGGAACTGCAAGTCAGTCTCATACATTAACATACATACCACATGTCTCTGCAAGAGAGAATGTCAGGGTGAAGCCTCTGAGATCTGGTAAAGTGTCCATGGCTGCTTCTGAAATGGTGCATATTGAGGACTTTAATTCAATAGCACAAGTCATAGCATGATAAAGGAAGACAGCAAATGATGAGCAGCTGGGGTTGAATTTCCTGCTAATTTTGGGTTAATTGCCCACCTGTGGCCACCACTGCAACACTATGCATTCTACCAGATCCCACTTTCACTGCCAGCAATTTAGAAAGTCAGCTCCTATCTTAGACTGCTGCATTCTTGGAACTGTTATACACTTCCTGCATGCACAATTACTCATCTGCAATGCATTTCACACTCTAATGAAGTGCACCTAGCACACAAGAGTGCATATGATGCTTAGCCAGTCTGAAAAGACATGATGAACATGCCAACAAGATGTTTGGAGCACACAAAATCCTGCCCCAAACAGAATAGTAAACTGCTCCATTTGTGGCAGATTTTATTAACTTGATTTATCCCAAAACATGATTTATCATCAGATTTTATGATTTTCTATAATCCTCCCCAATTTTTAAGTCATATAACACATTATGATTCCTTCAATAATCCAATTTCCTAAATTCTGCCAAATTTTTGGGTAAGCTGGCAGCTGCTCCCCATGGGAAGCAGTGACCTACTTCTGACTCTGCCCAAATAACATATTGGCAAAATCTGTCCTGGTTTGCAGACATGGTGCTTAGCATAGAAAGGTGTGCAAGCAAACAAACTGTAGCTATCTAAATACACATTTTTGAGGTCATGATATCCAAATCATACACAATCCATGGCCTTGACTGTGGGCATGTTCAGCAGAGGAAAAATTATTCCACAATTAACTTTGTCATACAACAAGCAAAACAGCAGATATAAGTGCAAAAATAGCAAAAATACAACACTGCTTCATTTTCTCCAGATATACCCACAAATTTCTGCAAGCAGTGGATGGAAGAGCACCTTGGGTTGATGTGTGCAACCATTATTCTGAATCTGTAGCAAACCGGATTGGGGTGAAATTGGGATTCGGGAAAAAGCCTGCTCTTAATGTTATTCTAGAGTGGCCAACTCACGGCAAAGCCCTTGAACTGGTTCCGTGAACGGTGCCACTCGACGGTCAGGATGATTTACCACCCATATGGGACAGAACCTCCCTTGCGCACGTTTGGCACCGCTCCCTGAACCGATTCCTCGCGAAGGCGCGATGTTTAGCATAATTTTATGTAGGACGAGATACAACAAATCACAAAAGAAAGGAATGCATCAAACCTGAGCAATTGCCTCCCAGAAATTCACCGACTCCAAACCCAACCGGGCCCGGCCGACCACCCGCCGCACCACAACGCAGCGCAAATGGTTGCAATACCGGTACAAACAAACAGCTAAAGCGTCGCTTTTGCCCAAACCTCATCGTGTTCAGACTTCGGCTTACAAAGCTTGCAATTACCGGAATTCACCTACTTCTGGCTTTTATACTGATGCACGTCCATGAACTGGCGGGTACTGAGAGCGAAAGGGAATAGATCGAAAGCATGTGGGTTTGTAATAGGAAAGTTGGAAACGGAGCCCCAGCCAGCTGTGTTGCACGGATGTATGTGACGCGAGTGGCGTTTCGCGCTAGTTTGATGTTTTGTCTTGAGTGAGAGCGGTTTATGAGCGGTCTCTGGTGCGGAAACGCCATGAATTTTCAGAGAAAGTAGCAACGACGTGATTTAAAACTGAAATTATGACAGACTCATAATGTAATTTGGCCAATCTTACAGCTTGATCGATCAAAAGCAACGGGTTCTGATGGGCTATCTGGACCCCGGCTGGGCAGCTGTGTGTTGTGATAGGTAGAGCAATAACTTTCGAGTCATGCGTGTTTTGAAATATGCATATCCAGAAGTGCCAAAATAGGCCTAGGTCAGATTTCAGAATATATCCGCTTTAATTGACCTTGAGCATTATGTATGCTGTTGAATGTGAATTGGATCTGATAAGATCTGGGTGTTTGCCAAAGCCGCAGTCAATGTGCTGTGAATAGCATCTTAGCAGCATTCCCAAATTCATCCAGTATGGTGTCAAGGATGTTTATTGAAGGTGGTGTGACCAGAATTCTGGCATGGTGGCCTCAGCATGAAAGTTGTTTACACTTGTCTGTTTCCCTTCAACCCTGAACCCAGATATTAGACTTGTCTGGCCCATTTGTCCAGCCTGAGGACACTTACATGCTGGGTTGAATGCTGCTTGGTTTGATGTGGATAGGCTAGTTTTAAGCAAGGAGAAGGGTGACATGCAGTGAATCCAAGCAGAGGGTATAATAGCTTGAAAAGTTTTGGCATCACTGCTACCCATGACCCCAACTGACCATTCATTAAGATGCCACATCTAGGCACATATGATTAGCATATAAAGGAAGTCACATAACCTTCACTGAAGAATTCACCACATTATTTAAATCTTCTTAGATGTCATTTTAGCCTTTCATGTTTCTACCTGCCCAAGAGGAGCCCAGATTAAAAAGACTGGATGCTACCAGACCAAGATGTTTTATTGAGTTTATTTATCCATCTAACAGAGAAGTCCTTTTGAAAAAGTTAAAAATTGGAGGGCACCTTTTTAATGCTGAGCCAAGCAAAGGCCATGGGTTGACACACCACACATTTTCTCAGTTAATGGCTAATAAATTTTCCTATTGCTCCAGTGCCCACAACTGGATGAAGATTCCTGATGCATCAGATGGATGTTCCTATGCCCTGTGAAGATGAAGCGGAGATAGAGCAATATGTCTACAGTGTTACCTGCATTTACCTCTCAATATGGGAGTGAAGGGTTTATTTCATACACAATGCAAAATATAATTGGTCCGCCATCACATCCTCAAGAGCATGGTGACTTTGCAAGCTCAGCTGCATTGGTTAGTTGTTCAGTCAATTTTCCTGTCATAACACTTTCAGTTATCTTATTTGAGAATTTGTATGATCTGCTTACTAATGCACTGTGTATGTTATGATTTGTTGTTGCTGTTCAGCAGCATCCTTTGGTTTTTGATAATGGGATGAGTAGTCAGTGTTTTGTGAGCAAAATTATGTTATGTCAGACACCTCATTCACTTGGACTGACTCCTCCTAAGTCACCTGTGTCTGCCCATTGTCTAAGGCCCCCATACAACATGTGGTGGAACCAGTGTCCCTCCTAAGTCATCTGTGCCTCCTGTTGTCTTAGGCCATGTATAGGACATGGTGGAAGCCAGCATCTGTCCTAAGTTGCCCATGTCCGCATGCTGTCTGACACATGTATGACACGTAGTGGGCCAGTATCTGTCCTAAGTCGCTGGTACCGACCTGTTGTCTCAGGCTACATACGGCACGTGGTGGAGCCAGTGTCCGTCCGCTCGGCGACCATTTAACTCCAACACACCACCGAACGTGCCTGGCCAGGACTTGTGGGTATGAATCCAGTAAGAGCCCTCTGCAGTACTGAGGACTAAGTCTGCAACTGTGATGAAACAGTTCATAACTCATGTGCTGATAGCATGCACTGTTGGTAAAGCCAGCCAGCTAATGACCATAAGCTAATACCTTACTTCGTTGTGCGGACTTTTCATATTACAACGACCCTTCGCGATGTGACAAAATCCTTTATTAGATCGTGGATTAGGAGTTTATATGTGCAGCTCTGTTATCAGCCCGCCGTCATTCGCTTGTCACAGCCCCGCCGCCTAGCGCAATATCCTAGAGCGAAGCGCCCCTCCCGCTCGCCTGCCTCTGAAGTCCTCAGGGTTGGGCCGCCGGTGGCGCCGGCTGACGCCCCGGCCGCGCTGTCGCAGATCTGGAGTTCGCCGAGGCCGTATACCCGCCTGCAGCTGTCCGTGTTCGAGACGTACCACCCCGGCGGCACTACTGCGCGTGTGGGCGCGCTGGACGGGGTCCGACGGGCCGCGCTGGGCGCTTGCTCTGGCGCGGCCGCCCGGCCGCCGACGGCCGCGCGCACGCTCAGGTGTTTCAGCCCACAACTGAACATCCTGCAGCGGCCCGCCCGTATTGGTGCGTGCTACGCACACAGGCGCTCCGCGCTCAGTACGTCGCGATCCGGCGCTGTGCGCACCTGCGCTGCTGTGTATGCTGCTGTCATGTACCACATGCACTGCCGCACTGTACCACACACACTGCCGTGCTGTGCCGCACACACTGCCGAACTGTACCACACACACTGCCATACTGTACCACACAGATTGCTGTGCTGTACTGCGCATGCAGTTGTGCTTTACTCTGTCTAGGTCTGGCTGTGTGCCTCTGCTGTGCCATCCAGTACACGCGATGGTTGTGTGACGGGCTGCACGTGATCTGTACACTGGCATTCTGCCCCGTGCGCACTTTGTTCACGGCCGCCCCGTCATGTGCGCGCTCTGCACACTGTCACTGTTGGGTATGTGTTTTGTGCATCTGCTTGCTTCGGTTTAGGACGTGTTGTGGAGTAGGGGCTGAACTTGGCTTCACGATGTGCCACGATCAGTGTCAGTCATCTGTCCCCCTGCTCTGTGTATTGGGCTCCGGCGTGGCCTGCTTCGGTTTAGGACGTGTTGCGGAGTGGGGGCCGAACTTGGCTTCACGATGTGCCATGGTCAGTGCCAGTCGTCTGTCCCCCTGCTCTGTGTACTGGGGGCCCCGGCGTGGCCTGCTCAGGATAGCGGCTCCTCCCGCTGTTGCTCCGAGCCGCATTCGTCGTCCCGACCCGCCATCCCCGCCCGCCGTCCCCGACCTGCCGTCCCCGGCCCGCCGTCCCGGACCTGCCGTCTCCGGCCCGCCGTCCCCGACCCGCCGTCCCCGACCTGCCCGTCCCCGGCCCGCCGTCCCGAACCTGCCGTCCCCGGCCCGCCCGTCCCGGCACCCCCCTACCCCCCCCCCTCCGACCGGCCGCTCCTCACTCGCTCCTCACTCACTCTCTGAAGCACGGTCCTGACCCGTCATCCCTGACCCCCCCCCCCCCCCCGCTGTGACCCTCGGCTCTGACTCTGCGGCGCGCCCCTCGTCACCCAGGCACCTGCGACTCGAGTTCAACTGCGAGCAGCTGGCCTACTTCACCGGGCTGGACGCCGTGCAAACTGACCGGCTGCCGGCGGCGGCCGTCGGCGGCGCAGCTGCTGCGCGGCCGGCCGCTGCGGCCGCTAGCTGCCCGGTTGGCGGCCGGCCCGCGCGGCCCTGTTGCGGCCGGACGGGCTGCCCAGCCGTCTGCGAGAGCTGGAGCTGCTCGGCCGGGCGGCGCCGGCGGCCGGTGGCTCCCCGACGCTGCGGCCGGCACAGACGGCAGCGGCCTGCTCCGCCTGCCGGTCAGTGGGTCCCGCCGTGTCAGGCATCACCTGCAGGAGCCGGTGTGCGGGCCAGGTCGAGACTCCGGGTCTGCAGTGTTGTCGCGATGGCCACGCGGCGGGCGAGAGGTGTTTAGTCTCGCGACGATGCTCCTACTCCGTCCCCTGCGGGACAGGCTCGTCGCAGGGTTGCGTGCTGTGTGCGCGGGAGCGGGCGGGGGGCAGTGCCTGTGTTCTCGTGCCACCCCGGGTGTGTCGACACTTCAGCTGGCCTGTCGCACTGCGTAGGAGGAGATCCTGTGCCGGCTGCTGACGTACCTGGACCTGGTGAGCCTGAGCCGGCTCTCGTGGCCTGCACGCACCTGCGCCGGCTCTGCGCCGATCCTGTGCTCTACTCCCAGCTGGACCTGCAGGTCAGACGCCCCGCCCGGCCCGCACAGCTTTCGCACACGTCATGGCGCCGGCCGGCAGCCCCGACCGCTGGGCAGACAGTAGCCGTTGCTCAGCTGTTTTCGACGTCTACGTTGACCGTTGGGCTGTTTTCTTATGGTCACCGGCAGCTGGGTAGATGGAGGAGATTCGTGAGGATGCCCGGTTTGCCTTTTGTTTTCTGGTTGTGTTAAGGATATGGGCGGCGTGGGATATTTGAACTTTTCACGTAATCGCATCGTTTTTAAAAGCGGCATTGTGCGATTCCCTTATGGATGGCATGAGGCTAAGCCCTTGCTCACCGCCGACGGACTGCTGGGCTGTGGGCTCTGTGCTGTCTTTCCCCGTTTTTGGGACATTGAAAGAATAATCGATAGGGCGTTAGGGCGGAGGCGGACGTTGCTGATGACGTCACGGAAAAGGAGATCGGCTTAATCGATAGGGCGTTAGACGGAGTGTGGACGTTGCTGGTGACGTCACGGAAAGGAGATCGGGTTCCGCTCGCCGTGCTGCTGCTTTTAGAGGCGAAACAGCTGTTTGGAGGTTCGGAACAGGCCTTAGATGTTACATGTGCCATAGATGAACAGGGAGGCAGGGGGCTACCCTCCCCCCCCCTTTCCGCCCCCGCCACTTTTCAAGGTGGGTGGCAGCAATGTCAACTACCCCCCCCCCCCCCCCACACACACACACGCAAACGCACACACACACTGAAATAAAAACAATCTGGAACAGCTTCTGAGTGATATTGGTTCAGAAGGAGTCCACTGAACCGCTGTAAAATGGAGAGCGCCGGCGATCTGTTCCATGCAGCCGCTCAACGCCTGATTTCTGCAGTTGACGGACTTCAAAACATAAGCAAATGACCTCGCGGTAACGTCTGATTTCTGTTTCTGTTCTGGATATGAGTAAAAATAGCAATAAAACGAACGCGACTGTGTCCGTGCTAACAAGTGAGCAATATCGGGCGGTTTTTAGCGGGGGGGGGGGGTCACCATCGGGTGGGCTTTTGTCAACCTTATGCCCCCCCCCCTTGGCAAGGCATTGGCTACGCCCTGCCTCCATTCAAAAGCAGGTCAAGCCGGCTATGTTGAATGAGGGGCAATTGGATGTCGGGTGGACCGATACACGTGAAAAGCAGGTATCTTCCGGAAAGCTTATTTTCTGCTGTGGTGTGGGGTGAGGGAAGATAATTCGGAATTAGATACTGTTGCAGGTGTCCAATATATGTTTTACAGACCGATAAGTAATAATGCTGATCCATAAACGTTCAGCAAAGCAAGCACATGATAGATTCGCAGTCGTTCATGCGGGGGACGGCCGAGCCAGGGCAGTGGGCGTCGATGGCGGATGGGAGCTAAACTCAGATTAGAAATATACGACAAAATGACCTTAATTATGTGACTTGGGTTTTATTGGAGAAACTGTAGTTGTATGGTTTTTGTCACATTGTTTTGGACGGTTGGCATTTGAAGCTTTTAAATTCTTTCCGCCTAAAATATTGCGACAAACCTTATCCCATGCAAAGTATCCGGTGCAATGTAGGCGCATGAAATTTTTAGCGTGCTATTGACCATTGATTCACACCTAAAACTTTGGCCAACCTCTATCCGGGTCGTATTTTGACACCCACCCTAAGGAGGTCTTCCAATGACCGAAAGTGCCTAGCCGCCCGTGTAATTTCGCTTTCCCAGAGAACACAATTTTGAAACGAACGAACAGTCTTGGAAAGCTGGATATCCTTATTTGCCGAATGGCATAGATGAGTGGAATGGGCAAGATTGTTCACCAGTGAAAAACAGCACTAGACGTATATTCAACATAGCAACCATAACAGAAGCCATTCCTGGAATGTATTATGTGAATTCAGAGCAGACAATAACCTCCATTTCTATCCCCGGTCACCGGGCTTGCCCCCAGCGAAAGTTCCTGAAGTATATCCTGAGTCTCCCCCCACCCCCGCCCACTTTTTGGAACGTTCCTACGCCTGTGAAATGTGCGCAGCTCGTGCGCACTGACCATGAGACTGAAGCGAGACGACGCCAGCTGGTGCGTTTACTTGTCATTCTGTTGGGTTGATAGCCGTGGTGAAAGTCAGACAGTTGGAGGGCGGCTAGAGCGGTGCTGACCGGTCCGTCTTTGGCCGGAGTCGGGTCTGGCCATGCTACGCACTGTGACGTACACCGTGCCGTCGCCACCAGGGACGGTGGGCTGGAGGTGTGTGTAGCCCGTCCGTGCGTGGCGCGTGACCGGCGGCGCCGCCGTGCTATCGCCACCAGGGACGGTGGGCTGGAGGTGTGTGTAGCCCGTCCGTGTGTGGCGCGTGACCGGCGGCGCCGCCGTGCTGTCGTCACCAGGGACGGTGGGCTGGAGGTGTGTGTAGCCCGTCCGTGTGTGGCGCGTGACCGGCGGCGCCGCCGTGCCGTCGTCACCAGGGACGGTGGGCTGGAGGTGTGTGTAGCCCGTCCGTGTGTGGCGCGTGACCGGCGGCGCCGCCGTGCCGTCGTCACCAGGGACGGTGGGCTGGAGGTGTGTGTAGCCCGTCCGTGTGTGGCGCGTGACCGGCGGCGCCGCCGTGCCGTCGCCACCAGGGACGGTGGGCTGGAGGTGTGTGTGTAGCCCGTCCGTGTGTGGCGGTGACCGGCGGCGCCGCCGTGCCGTCGCCACCAGGGACGGTGGGCTGGAGGTGTGTGTAGCCCGTCCGTGCGTGGCGCGTGACCGGCGGCGCCGCCGTGCTGTCGTCACCAGGGACGGTGGGCTGGAGGTGTGTGTGTAGCCCGTCCGTGCGTGGCGCGTGACCGGCGGCGCCGCCGCGCCGCCGCCGCCAGACGGTGGACCGCCCGCTGACCCCGTATGTCGGCAGCCCTACTGGCACCTGGTGGACGCCAGCGTTGTGCCTTTCCTGGTCAGTCGGGGCTCTTACCTCACCAAGCTGGACCTCTCCTGGTGCGGCAGCTACGGCGCGCTCACCGACGCCGACTTCTGCAAGTGAGGCACCATCACTGGGCTGTCGTGTGGCATCTGTGGAAGGGCCGTCTGTTTGGGTCGTGGTGTCGTCTCTTGCGATCTGACTTTCAAATGACGTTCTGAATGGCTCCTCTTCGCTCTCCCCCGTTAGAGAGAGATCAGTGTACATTTGTCACCATCGCGCTGGTGACCTGCTGGTAGTGGCAGTGGGCCGCATGTCAGCAGCATCGGCGCTCTGCCCGTGTGGGTGACGGTCGGCGACCCGGCGACCCGGCGAGTCGGCTGGCCGACCCTGGACCCGTATGACCGTGCCCGCTCCCCCCCCTTCAGCGTGGCCGCCCAGCTCGGCTCCCGGCTCCTCTGCCTGCGCGTGGACGCCTGCGACTGGTTCAACGGCCTCTGCATGGAGTGGACCGGCCTGTTCTGTCGCGGCCTGGAGGGTGAGCCCGAAGCCGGAGGCGCTTCCGCCGGCCCGCGTCGCTCTCCGGAGCGCACGACAGCAAGCGCGGCCGGCCGCGCGCCGGACTCTTCTGACCCGAAGCCGGAGGCGCTCCCGCCGGCCCGCGTCGCTCTCCGGAGCGCACGACAGCAAGCGCGGCCGGCCGCGCGCCGGACTCTTCTCACAATGTCTCTGGCAGCTTTTGACCACGTATCGACGCGATGGTAGTACCGCTAGCTGGCCCGTGTGGTGCAGCCCGACGTCGTTACCATGGTTACTGGTCCAGTACGCGTGATAAAGTGTATGTGTGTGTTTTGACCGGGATGTACGAACCCGGCCTTCGTGGAGTTGTTGACTGGCTGGTCTTATCTTCATGTGGTGTTGAGTGCCGCCTGACCCAGCCGGTCCACGCTCAGCCCGCTGTTCTGCGGACAGAGTGCGGGACTGATATGCCCACCGTTCCACCGGCGGTTGGTAGTGAGCGATCGTTGGTGGCCTGGCGTCGAGCCGGGCTCGGGCGGCTTATGTACGGGCCGTCCGATGCGTTCCACCGACCGGCTGGCACTCCGGGGTGCTGACCGGTCCCGGTGGGCCTGTGCCGCGCGGTCTGGCGTCAGCCGCTGCCTGCCGACGGCGCCCCGCCGACCGGTTGGCACTCCGGGGTGCTGACCGGTCCCGGTGGGCCTGTGCCGCGCGGTCTGGCGTCAGCCGCTGCCTGCCGACGGCGCCCCGGCTGACCGGCGCCGGTCCGTGTGTGGCAGAGCTGAGCATGCGCAGCTGCTGCGGCCTGGCCGACGACGCCTTCTGGAGCCTGCAGTACCTGTGCAGCCTGCGCCGGCTCGACCTGTTCCGCACCGAGATCACCGCGGCGCCGCTGGCTGCCTTCATTCGCAACGCCAGTGGCTTGCAGCACCTCGGACTCGGTGAGCGGCGGGGCGGCGGCGGCGGCTCCTCACCCGCTGAACGCCGTCCGCCCGGGCTCTGGCAGTTTCGTGGGCGCCGCCGTCAGCCGACCCCTGGCTGGTGATGGATCCCACCGCCGCAGGCCGGCTCTGATGTACGGTGTCCGGCCGACACACTCGGGATGGCGGTGCGTGCCGGTGCGCCTCGCGCGCGGGCCCTGACGGGACTGCCGGCTCTGCTGTCGCGCTGCAGGGACAGGGTCAGACCCTGCGCCCTTCATGCATAAGGTGCACCCGGGTTTTGTATCAGGCGTGTCCAGATACAAAACCAGGGTGGATGTAGCACATTTCCGACTGCTTACGTGATAGTTATACTAGTGGAGACCTCGCTTGCGCCAGTCTTGTTAATACCAAAGAGAGATCTTGTCAAACAAGGCTTCTATTTTTTAGTCACTTACACACACCAACACTCACACCACAACGTCTACACGCGTTCATCAAAAAGTAGGGCATCGCTTTGCGATCCCAGAACTGGCTGGTGCCCCCCCCCCCCCCCGTGAGGCACTACCTTTCCGTGGTGGGGGGGGGGGTTTGCGTGCCCCAATGATCCTGCGGGTGGTTGGGGAGGCTTGTAAAGCGCCCCAAGCGTTTCGGCCAAAGAGGGGGGCCAGACAAAACGTGCCTCCCGCAAGAGCTCTGACTCGCTCAGAGTAGGGATTAGCAACCCCTCGGCCCCAGTTTTTCAGTCTTATCTGGGTCTCGCCGTACCCCGTTGGATCCGCAGGTAGCGATGAAGGGATCCTGGTCACTGAGGGAGTTGCCCTGCGGGTCAGTCGGGGCAGCTTACCAACACGTGGCTTTGGCCCGAATTTGTGATCCTGCGGATGCCTCGTGAAGTCTCCACACGAGGGAACCGGCTGGTCAGGCGTCGTGCTTTCGTGACACTGGCTTGGAGGCAAGCAGGTCATGTGACGGGTGTTGAGGGGGGAGCTGCCGGGTGCAGTGTCTGCCTCCTGACATCATTAAGGGACCGTACCTCGGTTTGCTACTAGGGTGCCTGGTTAGCCCCTGCGAACCGAGGCACTGGCGCCCGCAGATCCGTGTCCGGCGGCTCTTACAGCAACTCTTTTGGCACACTGGTCTGCGTATAGCGTGCTGATAGCCCTGGCGGCTCCTCTCTTAGAAGTGGACCGTCCCCGTGTTGGGCTCCGTGGGGGGCGGGGAATCAGAGCGCCGAATATAAACACATACCTATGGACACTTTATCTTCAACCAACCCCCCAAACCCCGACCGTCGTCCACTACCCCAGTTTCTGGTCGTAAGATCCGCCAAAGTAGATGACCAAGGAAGGACAGTACCGCTCCGACTAAACCCATTTCAGCGCCAAAGCATTTTCCAAGATCGGGACGCCCAAGGATGTCTTTTCGTATGCGGACGGAGGCATAGAAGTGCATCTAACAGACGAACGCGAGATCCAGCGCATGCTTAAAACGACCACACTTATTAACAAAGTACGAGGACAGGGAGAGGTTAGGGTGCCCGTATCGGTGCACCCTCACCCCTCTAAGAGCTACTCCAAGGGTTGTGATTACTTGCCGGGACCTTCGCGGTGT